CCGCCCGCCCCATCCCCCCGCGGCGCCTGCCCGCCGGCTCTCCCGGCGCAGCGCGGTTCCAGGCCAGGCCTGCGGGCGAGCAGGCGGGGTACGGGCCGGCCCGGCGTGCCCGCTGGGTCTTAACGCCGTGCTCCGTGCAGGCAGGCGGGACGTGGCCTAGGTCAGGTTCCCGGAGGGGCAGAGAACTGCGTCTCCCCTCTTTTCGGAGGGCGCAATGGTGTCCTGAGTCTCCTACGTTGGCCTAGATCCCTGTCCTTAGGCTTACCCTCGACAAACGGGGGGACGCTTCCCGCAAGGATGGAGAGCCCAAAAAGCTCCTCCCCACCTTAAGATTGTAACATTGAGGGAAGTGCCACCTCCCTCTATTCCGCCCTAGCCCTAGGTCCTGGTTTTCCGTCCATCACAGCGCCCCTTCTGTACATGCCCCACCCCGAGTCCTGAAGGGGTCGCTCCAATATTCTCCCAACCCGCGCAGGTTTTACCCTGCACACCCTCCACTCTCCCCACCTGGTTTTACCCTGCACACCCTCCACTCTCCCCACCTCCTCCTACTGGATTTTCTTTCGTCAGAAAGTCCTTCCGACCGTCCAGCTTTTGCAGGACAAAGTAGCTTCTCGTCCCTGGCTAGAGAGGCCGTCCCTGGGACCGTAGGGATGGGGGTAGCACTGAGATGTCCTCAGATTCTTAAGCCTCGCCAGTCTCCTGAAGAGGCTTTTGATTTGGGAATGCCAGCGAAAGAAGCGAGGGATGCCTCAGCCCGGCTTTAGGACCCTGGGGGCTCCGGAGGGGAAAAAAAACCACTGAACTTTTTTTTTTTTTGGTCTGGAGTCAGCTCGGACTTCTCATCTTTCTGGAGCCTCCCTCCCCTGCTAGGCCCCAGTTCTCTTAGCCCCGGGTGGGGGAAGAGGGGAGAATCTGGAGTTCTTTGTGGTGCATTCCTTGGGCTCAAACACTCTCAGCCTGGCCCCCTCCTCCTATTCCACCGCGGACCCCGCCCGCCGGCTCCGTCTCCCCAGCCCCCATTCCACGTGGACCAGCCTGGGCGGGGGTGGGGAAGGAAGACAGGAAGAGGGGGAGCTAACATAGGGAGAAGGGGGGCGGCGGAGGAGATTGGTGGTGGCTCTTCTCTCCTTCGCCCTCACTGCCGGCCATCCCAGCTCCAGGCACCATGTTCCTCGAGAGCTCCCCCAGCCACACCCTCCTCCGACCCCTGCTGCTGCAGATGTTGATGCTAATGCACGCCGTGGGGAGGGGGCTGGGCCGCGCCAGCCCGGCCGGGGGCCCCCTGGAAGACGTGGTCATCGAGAGGTACCACATCCCCAGGGCCTGCCCCAGGGAAGTACAGATGGGGGATTACGTGCGCTACCACTACAACGGCACTTTCGAGGATGGCAAGAAGTTTGACTCGAGGTAATGGGTTGGGTGGCCCCAGACTCACCACTGCTCTACCCTGAGCTGGGGCCAGGCCCTTGGTTCCCTTGGTACCCTTTTAAGGTCCCTTGCTTCCCTTGGTACCCTTTTAAGCTGTGTCTGCATTCTGGTACTTACTCCTTGATTCCCTAATCCCAAAAACAGCACCTTGGGTGGGGGGCCTCCCAGACATCCATCTCCCCAAAGAGATATCCTCTGCTCTCAATTTCAAACCTTTGCCTCTCCAAGAACCCCGGTTTCTTTCATACAAGCTCCTCATACTCCCCAAAGTGTGTGATAACCAAATGAACCGCTCTATTTACCTACCAGTCCTTTATTTAGAAACAGGAGGAGGGGGATGTTCTTGTCCACAGTGTTGGAAGAGCATGGTCCCTGACGCATGTAAATCCTCTGGTGGTCTCAGCTGGGTACCCCTACATTCCCACCCACCCTGACTCCCTTTCAGGTTCCAGCCCCAGATTTCAGCACCTTTGTTGTTAGAAAAGAGGGAGTAGAACTTTCTTCTGGAGTTACCAGTAGCCAGTGGTAAAGCAGCCTGCATCATAATTAGATAGGATGAATCTGGGCGTGTAGGGACCCTGTTTGTCTACGTGTCACAGGGTCCTGTCACAGGGTCAGACCTGCCATCCTGGGCTCCTCAGAGGATTTTTATACCTCCCTCTCCGGGTCTACCTGCACCCCCACCTCCCTCCATCTTGTTAGCTCTAGCAGGCCAGTGCTGCTGCCCATCTTGCCAGCCTTAGAGTTTGAGAGACCACCTTCTCTCTGGTCCTGGCCTTGGGTCTGCTCTGGCAAGTCCACTTCTGTTGGTAGGGGCAGGGCAGGGCTGCATGTCAACCTTGGTTAAACCTTAGGGCTCAGTGATACACAACCCCCCACACACACACCCCAAGAAGTCAGTTATCTTAGACCCTTCCCCAAAACACACAACTCGTCCCACGGGAAATCAGTGGCCGTGGCTTTGAGGACAGGCAGTATATTGGGTAAGAACACGAACTCCAGAGCCCAAGACCCTGGGTTCAAATTCAGACTGTGACCATGGAAAGGAAATTTTGCCTCTTGAAGCTTCACTTTCTTTAATTTGAAAAATAGAGATTAAAAACAGTCTGAAAAAACTGAGTCCCTACTTCCTAAGGCTGATAGTAGGACTCAAACATGATGATGAATGAAAGTGGCCTTGACACAGTGCCTGGAAGTCCGAAAAGGTTCAGTACTTATTAGCCTTGACTCTGGGGAGGACCAGATGCCCTGATAATGTTTAACTGGTGCTTGGGCCCTCACAACAGCACTGTGAGGGAAGCAGGTCAGTCGTAAAACCAGCTCAGGGGGAAATTGAGGTATAGGCAGTAGCCAGGAGTACAGTCCTGAGCCCTTGATCGCTGGGAGTGGGGGAGGGGTGGGGCTTTGGGGGATGACTTCCCTGGTGGGGACTCTGGGAGCCAGGCTGGGCCCAGTTTATGCAGCACTGAGCCTGGAAAACTCATAATCCATGGCCCCCTTAAGTCAATCTTCCAGCCTCTCTTAACTTCTGAAAACTTAAATTAAAACTAACTAAAAACTAATAAAAGCCATGGCAGCTTTAGAATAGGCTCTTTCAGAACTGAAAACCAATCCTATCCCCCATCAGCTCTGCTTCCCCTTCCTTTCCTCCTTAGCTAGGCCATGGTGCAGAGGCACAAACAGGGGCTTTGGAGTTACGCACACTACTTATTAACTGTGACCTTGAATAAGTCACTTGGTCTCTCAAGTCTGTTTTTCCCATAAGAAAAATGAAAACAATGTCTCAACTTTTTCTCATNCTTCTCTCTGGTCCTGGCCTTGGGTCTGCTCTGGCAAGTCCACTTCTGTTGGTAGGGGCAGGGCAGGGCTGCATGTCAACCTTGGTTAAACCTTAGGGCTCAGTGATACACAACCCCCCACACACACACCCCAAGAAGTCAGTTATCTTAGACCCTTCCCCAAAACACACAACTCGTCCCACGGGAAATCAGTGGCCGTGGCTTTGAGGACAGGCAGTATATTGGGTAAGAACACGAACTCCAGAGCCCAAGACCCTGGGTTCAAATTCAGACTGTGACCATGGAAAGGAAATTTTGCCTCTTGAAGCTTCACTTTCTTTAATTTGAAAAATAGAGATTAAAAACAGTCTGAAAAAACTGAGTCCCTACTTCCTAAGGCTGATAGTAGGACTCAAACATGATGATGAATGAAAGTGGCCTTGACACAGTGCCTGGAAGTCCGAAAAGGTTCAGTACTTATTAGCCTTGACTCTGGGGAGGACCAGATGCCCTGATAATGTTTAACTGGTGCTTGGGCCCTCACAACAGCACTGTGAGGGAAGCAGGTCAGTCGTAAAACCAGCTCAGGGGGAAATTGAGGTATAGGCAGTAGCCAGGAGTACAGTCCTGAGCCCTTGATCGCTGGGAGTGGGGGAGGGGTGGGGCTTTGGGGGATGACTTCCCTGGTGGGGACTCTGGGAGCCAGGCTGGGCCCAGTTTATGCAGCACTGAGCCTGGAAAACTCATAATCCATGGCCCCCTTAAGTCAATCTTCCAGCCTCTCTTAACTTCTGAAAACTTAAATTAAAACTAACTAAAAACAAATAAAAGCCATGGCAGCTTTAGAATAGGCTCTTTCAGAACTGAAAACCAATCCTATCCCCCATCAGCTCTGCTTCCCCTTCCTTTCCTCCTTAGCTAGGCCATGGTGCAGAGGCACAAACAGGGGCTTTGGAGTTACGCACACTACTTATTAACTGTGACCTTGAATAAGTCACTTGGTCTCTCAAGTCTGTTTTTCCCATAAGAAAAATGAAAACAATGTCTCAACTTTTTCTCATAAAAAAAAAAGGAACAATAATGCTCACTTCACAGGGACAAGAATTAAATAAGATCAAGAATGTACACTGCCAAGCAGTTAATCAGCATATCCTAACAGCTCAATAAATGTTCCCCTTCCCTCCAGGAAGCACTTAGCACTCCTTTGCTGTCAACAGATAATTGCAGCAGACAGGCCTGCAGACAGTCCTATCCCAGGGCTATAGAAGCCCCTAAACTCCCCGGGGACTTCCTTTTTGTGACAGCCTAGCCTCTTAAGTTGGGGGTCACGGCTGACCTGGGAGGGAGGTAAGGAGCATGTGGATCTACACCTGTGTAGAGAGAGGGGGATTGTATGTGCATGTGTATGTGCGTATGCACCTATGCATGTACCATGGGCAGAGGGAAACACCTGTGTACACCTGAATCCACTGTACCCCATCTGTCCTCCCTGTCCCCCAGCTATGACCGCAGCACCTTGGTGGCCATCGTGGTGGGTGTGGGGCGTCTCATCACTGGCATGGACCGAGGCCTCATGGGCATGTGTGTCAACGAGCGGAGACGCCTCATTGTGCCGCCCCACCTGGGCTATGGCAGCATCGGTGTGGGTGAGAAGGGCTGGGGCACGGGCATGGGGATGGAGGAGACTAGGAGGTAGAATCAAGGACCCCAGGGCCAAAAAACTGAAGCTTAGAGAGGGAGAGTGGCTTGCCCAAGGTCAACTGCTTACACAGTATGAACAGTGGCAGGTCCGGGACTAGAGTTTCTATTTCCTGCCCCTGGGATGGGAAGAAGGGAAATAACTGGTCCTGGGGGGGATCATAGTTTGACTAGAAGAAGGGAAACTAGTGAGGAGGAGGGGGAGGCCAAGCAGGATGCTCAGCCCTCCACTCCACCCCCACCTTGGGGGCTGCATCAAACATGAGCTCCTCCTGCATGGCCCTCACAGCGGGGCTAATTCCCCCGGATGCCACCCTCTACTTCGACGTGGTCCTGCTGGATGTGTGGAACAAGGCAGACACAGTGCAGGTGAGCACCTTGCTGCGCCCGCCCCACTGCCCCCGCATGGTCCAGGACAGCGACTTTGTCCGTTACCACTACAATGGCACACTGCTAGATGGCACCGCCTTCGATACCAGGTAAGGACTGGAGGGAGCCCTGGGGTCCTGGGGACAGTGGCATGGAGGGTGTCCAAGGTCCATCCTCTCCCTCCTTCAGCAGCATCACCTCTACTTCATTCTCTGCAGCTACAGTAAGGGCGGCACTTATGACACCTACGTGGGCTCTGGCTGGCTGATCAAGGGCATGGACCAGGGGCTGCTGGGCATGTGTCCTGGAGAGAGAAGGAAGATCATCATCCCTCCATTCCTGGCCTATGGCGAGAAAGGCTATGGTAAGGGCAGGCGAGGACTCGGGGATTCTCCAGAAGTGGCTGCCACATATGGTTGCTCAGGTTGTGTACTGCACAAGGCACCCAGCCAGGGAAGCAAGTGGGAGTGAAATCTAGCCCCTGGTGATCATCTCATTAAGAAGGGGTGCTTTATTCTGATTCACACAAAGCTTCATTACGGGCTGGTGGGTGGCTCAGGGAAAACCCAGCTCGGGCCTCACAGGGGGAGCAAGAAACAGGGCTGCTGGGGGCAAAGGAAGGGCTCTGGAGAGCAGGGTTAGCACCTTTTTCAGGGTTCTCACAGAGGCCTTCCCGAGTCTAGGAGGAGCCTGGGTTTGCTCTCCACCTGTATGGTTCAAGCCTATCCCTTCCCCAGGGACTGTGATCCCCCCGCAGGCCTCCCTGGTCTTCCATGTCCTACTAATCGACGTCCACAACCCGAAGGACACTGTCCAGCTGGAGACGCTGGAGCTACCACCTGGCTGTGTCCGGAGAGCCGTGGCCGGGGATTTCATGCGTTACCACTACAATGGCTCACTTATGGATGGCACCCTCTTCGATTCCAGGTCAGGGGGTCCTGAGGAGGGAGGGGCTGGGGGAAGGCAAGAAGCTGGGGTCACCTAGGCAGCAGCTGGGGGTGGCTCTGAGCTGCCTGCAAGGGCAGAGACCCCTCTGACTCCCTTGCTGGCCTCCCCACCTTTTACTGCAGCTACTCCCGCAACCACACGTACAATACCTATGTGGGACAGGGTTACATCATCCCAGGGATGGACCAGGGGCTGCAGGGCTCCTGCATGGGGGAGCGCCGGAGAATCACCATCCCCCCCCACCTCGCCTATGGGGAGAATGGGACTGGTAGGTCTGTTGTACCTCAGTTCCTCTCCTGAACCCCTCACTGACCTTCCTCTGCTCTGCCCCTCTCATCACAAAAACCGGTCATCCACTCAATTCCTGCCACATGGACTCCATCCTTTACTCCAGGACAGTCCCCCCTACTTCTCTTCCATCCTGGAGAAGTGATCCTGAGTTTGGGGGGGGGG